TTTTCAAAACAAGAGAACTTCATAGCGTTATACCTTTGCCGTTGAGTTGCTTCCAACTCATAGCAACCTTATCGGAGAGAGTAGAACTGCCCCCCATAGGGTTTCCAAGGAGCGGCTAGTGGATTCGAGCTGCTGACCTTTCGGTTAGCAGCTGAGCTCTTAACCACTGCGCCACTAGGGCCAGTGTTATAGTAAACATTTAAAAAGGTCTTCCCAGGATGGTGTAAGCTGAAGCTTTATTGCCAACCACCCGTCAACTTCGAATTGTGAAATATCCCCTAGTCAAAGTACATCTGACAGAAAAGAAATTAGTTCCAATACCAAATGAGAACAGTGTGGAAATAATAGAATTGCTTTTGACAGATAATCTAATAAAAAGATATGAAAATGATTAGAACACTAAAATTAAATCACCAAATATAGCTGTATTTGTTTTATGCTACAGAGTAGATTCTTGCATTGGCTGGAAGGTTGGACGCTATAACTTCTAATTTTAGGGAACAATAGAAAGGAAGAAACTTGATGACGACAGTCTTTTACTGCCAGCAAACCACTCCTAAATCACTGCAACCGCCGTAAACAACACGAACAAGAAGGCACCAGAACTCAGAGACGAGCCTCTCTCACTGCTCCTGCTGTGGTTCAACTCAAATCATCTTTCCGTGGTCTGCAGGACTGGTTTCCAACATTTATCTCCAAGATAACCATGTGGCGGGTCTTGGAATAAGCATGGTAATTACAACCTAATAATTTGCTTAGAAGTCTACAAGAGGTTAAGTATAGTGGCTCAGATAAGATTATTGGCTACAAATCCCTTAAATTCACTGAGACAGAGATGATGGATGGATGGATGGATGGATGGATGGATGGGTGGGTCGGTGGGTAGGTAGATAAGTAGACAGGTGGACAGATAGACAGATAGGTGCCGTCGAGTTAACTCCAATGAAACAGAATGAAATGTTGCCCAGTCCTGCATCAGCCTCGCCATCGCGGCATATTCGAATTCATCATTTCAGCTATTGTGCCAATCAGTCTCACTGAGGGTCCCCCTTGCACTTGCCAGCCCTCAACTTCACCAGACATGATGTCCTCCTCCAGCAAGTGATCCCTCCTGATAACACGTCCAAAGCAAGCAAGTCAGAAAACGTTCTGTGATTCATAAGGTTTTCACTGGCTCATTTGTGGAAGTAGATCACCAGGCCTTTCTCCCTAATCTGTCTTAGTCTGGAAGCTGCTGTTGTTAGTTGCCATCCAGTCAACTCCAACACATGGCACACGATACAACACAGCAAAACACTGCCCGGTCCTGGCCATCCCCACAACCGCTGGCTTGTTTGAGTCCATGGTTGCAGCTTTTGTGCAGTGTCTTTCCATCTAGGGGACTCACCATCCAGGACTATATAGGACAGTATTCTGTTGGGTTCACGGGGTTTTCATTGGCTAATTTTTGGAAGTAGATTTTCGTTGTTGTTGTTAGGTGTTGTCAAGTCAGTTCCAACTCACAGGGACCCTATGTACTACAGAATGTAACACCGCCCAGTTCTGCACCGTCTTTACAATCGTTGTTATACTTGAGCCCACTGTTGCAGCCACTGTGTCGATCCATCTTGTTGAAGGTCTTCCTCTTTTCTGCTAACCATCTACTTTACCAGGCATGATGTCCTTCTCCAGGGACTGATCCCTCCTGATAACATGTCTAAAATATGTGAGACATACTCTTGCCATCCTTACTTCTAAGGAGCATTCTGGCTGTATTGCTTCCAAGACAGATTTGTTCGTTCTTTTGGCAGTCCAAATATTCTTCACCAACAGCATAATTCAAAGGCGTCAATTCTTCTTCCGTCTTCCTTATTCATTGTCTGGCTTTCACATGTATATGAGGCGATTGAAAACACCATGACTTGGGTCAGGCACACCTTAGTCTTCCAGGTGACCTCTTTGCTTCTTAACACTTTAATGGAAGTAGATAACCAGCCCTTTCTTCTTAGTCTGTCTTAGTCTGGAAGCTCTGCTGAAACCTGTCCACCATGGGTGACTCTGCTGGTATTTGAAATATCGTTGGCATAGCTTCAGCATCACAGCAACACACGAGCCAGCACAGTACGACAAACTGACAGACAAGTGGTGGAAATTCACTGAAGGTAAGTATTATTATCCGAAACAATAACAGTGGAAGATCTACACTTTGGAACCAACTGGTGTGGAGCTGGGCTGTGGCAATAGAGAGAGGAGGTGTTATCTCTGGGACATTCAAAGTTCTTCAAAGAAGCCGTAAGCCACAGTGAAGATGTTCTTCCTCTGCAAAGATCTTCTAAAATTAGTATGGACTCTTCACCCAGGCTTTTTAGTCATTTTTTTCATGGAAAAGAAAGTAGCCTTGGCATGGTTTGTCCAGTTACCTGCCATGTGCTAAATTCCTCTACTGCCTCTTCAATGAGTCAATCCTAGGCTACCAGACAGCCTTCTAGCTAGAGTTTTCAAGCAGACAATTCCCACGTGTGGTGTTGTACCCAGGCTGTTAAAACAACATGGTGACTTTACTTACAGAAGGAAACTTTCCCAAGAAGGGGCATCCATTATACGAGAAAGCGCACACTGAATCTCAGCCACATTACCCACTGCCATTGAGTTGATTCCAACTCATGGCAACACTCTAAGACAGAGCAGAACTGTCCCATAGGGTTTCCAAAAAGCCTCGAGTGGATTCGAACTGCTGACCTCTTGGTTAACAGCCGAGCTCTTAACTACTGTGCCACCAGGGCTCCATCAAAATTCTGGGAGCAGCCCTCTGTTCCTCATTTAAGACATTTCTTTGATTTAAGAAGATATTTAAGGCATTGGTGACATCGTTTGCCAATTTTATCTTTTTCAGAGCTAACCAGACCTAAAATTCTCAATTTGGGACAACAGGAAGGAATTTGGGGAGATTTGTGGGCTTCTCTTTGCGGTCTCACTTGGAAGTCTTGACACTCTCTACCTTGAATAGCTGGTTTCTCTCAATCTCTCACATTTCATCTTTTCTGGAGCCTTCTTATCAAATAAGTTCTCCAGACACATCCTTGTCTTTCTTCAAGATACCTTACCCCTCCCTAGGCTTAATTGTCACAGAAAAACTCAGAGCACCCTTTACTTTTTTTTCCTGTGGAATACATTGATAAATGAGGTTTCCCCTCAGCAAAGACAAGAAACTGGTCCAAGTTGGCAAAGAAATAAGACAAAGGAACAAGAAGGGCAGTTTGGCTATGTAAAAGACTCCCTCGCTCCCCAGCCCCCGCCCGCCAAAGCAGGGATTTTAGTTTGGGCTTTAATTTACATTTATGACCCTTGTCAAAGAGTTAGCAGAAACTATTATTTCCACTACCTTCTTGGGTTCCTGACCACATTCTGCCCCCTACTGGGGCTGTTCTTACAAGGAAATGGTATATAATTTAAGCAACTGGACTATTATACCTAAGACCCATCCTTTTCACTGGTCAGTTACACCACTATTACAGAATATGCTGCTGTTAACACAGAAGGTATCACCGAAGAAAACTTACCTGCGCTACCCTTAAAATTTACCAGTTGCCATTGTGGCGATCCAAGGTGGCACAAATGGTTTGCATGCAACTACTAATCTAAAGGTTGGTGGTTCAAACCCACCCAGTGGCACCACGAAAGAAAGTCCTGGCAACCTGCTTCTGTAAAGATTATAGCCAAGAAAATCCCATGGAGGAGTTCTACCCTGGTGCACATGGTTAGAACTGACGTGACGGCAACAGGTCTGGTTTGGGTTTCAAGTCAGTTCCAACTTGTGGCAACCCCATGTGTGTCAGAGTAGAACTGTGCTCCTTAAAGTTTTCAGCGGCTAGTTTGTCAGAAGTAGATTGCCAGGTACTTCTTCTGAGGTGCCCCTAGGTGGGACTGAACCTCAACCTTTTGGTTAGCAGCTGAGCATTTGCACCAAATTAGTCTAAAATAAATCATGCTCTTTCTGGGCCTTGGGGACCCACCTTCACTTAACAGTGACTCTACTAGAAACGTGTAGAACAGGCCAGAGGAAAGCGGAAGAAGGGGTGTTGGAGGCTTAAAACAGGAAGTGGTGAGGGGAGTGGATGTCCCCTAGTGGGACATCCCCCCTGTAAGGCTGAGAAGCCTCCCAGGGCATCCTAGAAGGATGGAGGTTGGCTTAATGACTGCTAAGGTCCTTTCCTCACCAGACTCCATGTCACTAACAACTAGAAGACAAGAAGGCAGAGAAGAAAGCTGTACTCGGCCCCCTTCACCACGCTCATATGATGTCAGCTGTTAAAGAGAAAGGGGAGTACAGTTCAGGTCTTCCACAGTGTGGATGCTGCTGACACCACAAAGGTAAAAAAGAATGAGTCAGCCTTCTCGTCCCTGCTCTTCTCTGTTCCTGCTCTTACTTTTCTGCTACTTCCGTAACTCTGTGAAGGAGGGAACTATTATATTTGCTAGCAACAGTTCCAGAAGCTGTAAGTAAATGAGTCTGTGATCTCCTTTTCTTCCATTCCTCTTGACTCTACAACTAGAAATAATGACTACTTGCAAAATCTCTAATTCATACCAAAGCAAGAAGATGTAGCACTGCACAAATATAATTATTTAAAATAACATGGATATTTAAATGTCTATATATTATAGAGGGAGCCCGAGTGGTGCAAATGGTTAGGCACTCAGCTGCTAACCGAAAGGCTGGAGGTTCGAACCTATCCAGTGGCTCCACGGGAGAAAGACCTGTCAATTTGCTTCCGTAAAGATTACAGCCAAGAAAATCCTATGGGGAAGTTTTATTCTGTCACTTGGGGTTGTTATGAGTCAAAATGGACTCTGTGCCACCCAACAACGACATATATACTGGTATATAATTGAAATCAGAAATTCTTTGAGCTTTTTCAGCAAATACACAAAGTTCCCTCTCCTTTCATTCTTGGTACACAAATACATGTATATGTATGTATATGTATTTTTTTTAAACAAGCTACCAGGCTTCGCCTTACCTCTGATGGCTTCGTGGTGCACTTTCCTTTTCCGGAACATTCCACGTCATTTGCATGGTTTTCTCCAGGCACACAGTTGCTGACCTTCACCACCAGCGTTAGGCGCAAGGCCACAATACTTTTAGTCACAGAATCATTCACAAAACCTAAAGAAAATGGGACAATAGGAAATGAAAAATAAAGTTTTCCCAGCAGTCTTTCTCCAGGATTACAGAATTTAGTTTAGGTGGCATTCAAACACACATTCAAAACACAACAAAATGCAATACAGAAAAGGAATAAAGCCCAGGGCTAGTATCTATTTGGACCTCAGACTGTAAAACACGCCAGTCTTCCCAAGTGTTGGGGGAACACCCAAGGCCAAAAAAAAAGGCAACAGGTCCTTCAGTCACCGTCTTAAATCCTTTTGCTTTGCCCCCGCCCTATCCCTCTGTCTCCCAATTCTATCCCTGCGCTCACATCTTAGAGTTCTATTTCTCTGCTTTTGAACCCCATCCTCTCCCAGGGAACCACGTGACTGCATCTCCCAGGTCTTCCTCACCCTGCCTACCTGGATAGTTCCAAGCACTGGAAATGCCCCAAGGCCCCACCTTGTTAGCACCCTGCTCAAGCTCCTCTGCAGTTCCCTCACAGGCTGGCGTCCAATACAGGTACATGTTCCATGTTCAATTTTTAATGATTATCTTACTTGATCACCAATTCCCACTGTACAGTGTCAGTTTAAGCTCTGTGGTTATAACCATCCACTACAACTGGAACAACCAATAGCTGGACATTGATCGCAATGTCACTAATCTGTCTTATTTATCACTGAATGACATTTATGTCAAGTGCAGCCATTTGTTCTTATACCAATCAACCAGCTGCTGATGGGTGGTAATTCCATGTGTGTCAGAGTAGATCTGTGCTCCAAGAGGGTTTTTAATGGCTGTGACCTTTCAGAAGTAGATTACCAGGTCTTCCTTCCAAGGCACCTCTGGCTGGATTTGAGCCACCAACCTTTCCATTAGTAGTCAAATGCTTAATCATTTGCACCACCTGGGAACTCATTCTGTACATAATAGGTATCAATAAACATAGAATAAATTGATGAATAAATACAGTCTCTAACTGGAATGAAGAAATAAACAGTTGAAGTATTTTGTACTAATTATTAAATTATTTCACTAAGCATGCTCTTCTCATTTTCTAATAAGAATCTTTACTTATTCACAGATAATTCTTAATTTCAAAATGAAACATACTCAATACAATTTTCTCAGTTCTGTTCAAGAGTAAGACCAAGTCCAAGAGCCTCAATATTATAAAGTCATATCCAAAATTATTTTGAGGACAAAAGATTTTTAGGACCAGGTAGCACAAGAAATCACTGGAGAAAATACACACGAGTCAATAATTGATTTTGAGGCAACTGGCTATCCATATGGAAAAATGTAAATTTGAATCCCTACCTCACACTATATTCAAAGATAAATTATAAATGGCTTAAAGAGCTAACTGTGAAACATACAACTAAGAGGAAAGCATGGGAAGCTACTTCATCAATCTTGAGGTATAAGTTTTCTTAAAAAAGACACACTAAAAAAAATTAAAAAATAGATTAATCAATTTAACTTTATTCAAGTTCAAATTGTATCTAAAAAGGCACCCTAAACAAAATCAATAAACAAGTCAAAGACTTGAAAATGAGATTTACAATGCATAAAACCAACAAACGATCAGTTCTCACAATATGTAAGAAAATCTTTCTGCACCTTGTTCCCCGCCCCGCAACTGCCAGCATTATTTTACATGATAGCATTCATGTAAATATTGAAAGTCCACAAAAGCAACAATAAACACTGATGTATGTACCAATGTGCACAGTGAAAGTATATAAATATGCATGGGATGAAACACACCAACCTCAAGAGAGGATGACTTCCAGAGAGAGGGGGAAGGAAGTAGGGGATGGGGAGGGATATTTTGACAGCATATACAACATTTTATTTATTTAGCAATAATATATGAAGCAAATATGGCAAAATATTAAGCCTTGTGTACAAATGTCTTATATTCATTTCTATAGTCTTCTGTATATTTTGGGTATTCTGCAACCAAATTTTTTTACTGAAATTGTTTATCGTAGTTCACGAATCAAAACTCCTAACAGGCTTATGATAGGCTAGAGAAATGCAGTAGCTCCAAACCTAGAAAACACAGTCCCAAAATGACTTCGTGATCACCTTGTCTGTATTTTTCCAACACTCTCTTCCCTCCACCATATCACACTCTTTCTTGTGATACACACACATGTACGTAGTATTATATTTGTTCGCTATGAGTCAGAATTGACGGGTTTGGTTTGGGTTTTTATCAAAACATTGCATTAAAAAAATAATAAACTGGATAGAAGTAGAACCCAGGTATTTCCATTTGCCTTGGTGACATGGTGTCATTAATTCATGGCCACTTATGAATGGGTTCATTTGGGTTGATAATAAATTACCAACTTGCCCAATGTTTTTGATGTTCTCAATTTAGAACTCCTTGTACACACTGCTGCTATGTTTTCCCAAAGACTATTATCACAGATTTACTCACAGTGTTATTGGACATATTAGGGCTAGCTTTGCACCCTCTTAAAGAGAGGGGTATTTTGAGACATCTTGCTAAAAAAGTTAAAATAGACTTCCTAACACTGTTTTCTTTTTCATACTTCTTTAAAAAGTGTTTATAAAAATAAGTCATCTCCCATAGTCTCTCAGCTGTTTCTGTTTGTCCCTTGGGGAAGTTATAAAGATAACATCATAAATATTTACAAAGAATGAGAAACCATTTCTGGAAACAGAATATGACTCTTTAAAGGGATTAGTAGGAAATGCCTATACCCACCCCCACACACACACACATACATATATCGTTGTTGTTGTTAGGTGCCATCAAGTCGGTTCCAACACACAGAAGCCCTGGGTACAACAGAATGAAACACTGCCTAGTCCTGCGCCATCCTCACAATCTTTATCATGTTTGAACCTATTGTTGCAGCCACTGTGTCAATCCATCTACTTGAGGATCTTCCTCTTTTTCGATGACCCTCTACTTTACCAAGCATGATGTCTTTCTCCAGGGACTGGTCTCTCCTGACAAGATGCCCAAAGTAAGTGAGATGAAGTCTCACCATCCTCACTTCTAAGGAGCATTCTGTCTGTACTTCTTCCAAGATAGATTTACTCGTTCTTCTGGCAGTCCATGGCAAATTCAATATTCCTCTCCAACACCATAATTCAAAGGCATCAGTTCTTCTTCGGTCTTGCTTATTCATCACTCAACCTTCCCACGCATATGAGGCGATTGAAAATATCATGGCTTGAGTCAGGCACACCTTAGTCCTCAAAGTGATATCTTTGCTTTTCAACACTTTAAAGGGGTGTTGTGAAGCAGATTTTCCTAATGCGATACCGTGTTTGATTTCTTGACTGCACTTCCATGGTCACTGTTTGTGGATCCAAGTAAAATGAAATCCCTAACAATTTCAATCTTTTCTCCATTTATCATGATGTTGTTTATTGGTCCAATTGTGAGGATTTTTGTTTTCTTTATGTTGAGGTGTAATCCATACTGAAGGCTGTAGTCTTTGATCTTCATCAGTAAGTGCTTTGAGTCCTCTTTGCTTTCAGCAAACAAGGTTGTGTCATCTGCATATCGCAGGTTGTTAATGAGTCTTCCTCCAATCCTGATGCCCCATTCTTGTTCATATAGTCCAGCTTCTCGGATTATTGCTCAGCATACAGTTCGAATAAGCATGGTGAAAGGATATAACCCTAACACACACCTTTCCTGATTTTAAACCATGCAGTATCCCCTTGTTCTGTTTGAATGACTGCCTCTTGGTCTATGTATTGGTTCTGCATGAGCACAATTAAGTGTTCTGGAATTTCCATTTTTCGCAATGTTGTGCATAATTTGTTATGATCCACACAGTCGAACGCCTTTGCATCGTCAATAAAACACAGGTAAACATCTTTCTGGTATTCTCTGCTTTCAGCCAAGATTCATCTGACATCAGCAAAGATAGCCCTCGTTCCACATCCTCTTCTGAATCCAGCTTGAAGTTTTGGCAGTTCCCTGTTGATGTACTGCTGCAGCTGCTTTTGAATAATCTTCAGCAAAATTTCACTTGTGTGTGACATTAATGATATTGTTCGATAATTTCTGCATTCTGTTGGATCACCTTTCTTTGGAATGGGCACAGATATGAACCTCCTTCAGTCAGTTGGCCAGGTAGCTGTTTTCCAAATTTCTTGACATAGACAAGTGGCCACTTCCGGCACTGCATCTGTTTGTTGAAACATCTCAATTGGTATTCCATCAATTCCTGGAGCCTTGTTTTTCACCAATGCCTTCAGTGTAGCTTTGACTTCTTCCTTCAATACCATCGGTTCTTGATCATATGCTACCTCTTGAAATGGTTGAACACTGACCAATTCTGTTTGGTACAGTGACTTTGTGTATTCCTTCCATCTTCTTTTGATGCTTTCTGCATCATTTAGTATTTTCCCCGTAGAGTCCCTCAATATTGCTACTCAAGGCTTGAATTTTTTCTTCAGTTCTTTCAGCTTGAGAAATACCGAGCGTGTTCTTCCCTTTTGGTTTTCTAACTCCAAGTCTTTGCACATTTCATTATAATACTTTACTTTGTCTTCTCTAGCTGCCCTTTGAAATCTTCTGTTCAGCTCTTTTACTTCATTATTTTTTCATTTCACTTTAGCTACTCACGTTCAAGAGCAACTTTCAGAGTCTCTTATGCCATCCATTTTGGTCTTTTCTTTCTTTTCTATCTTTTTAATGGCTTTTTGCTTTCTTCATGTATGATATCCTTAATGTCATCCCACAACTTGCAACACACAAGCCACCACAGTATGGCAAACTGACAGACGAGTTCCAACTCACAGCAACCTTATACACAACAGAATAAAACACTGCCCAGTCCTGTGCCATCTTGACAATCACGGCTATGTTTGAGCCCGTTATTATTATAAGCTACCCATTTTCTGGTATTTTATTATGATAGCCCTAGGAAACTAATGCAGGAAGGAAGAAAAAGGATGGTTTAGGCAAAACAAAACAAAAAAGTCTCCTCTGTAGAGCTTTCCACCCCCTCCAT